GCACTGCTAGAGGCAAGCGAATGATCGCGGGCGACAACGAGCACACGTTTCCCGTTGGTTCAGATTGATAAATTCGCTCGTAAATTTCGATTCGCGTGTAATTCGTCATATTTTTCTAGATCTCAGCACGAATATTTTCGTATCATTCGTAGATACACGTGTTCCTACTTCACGCTTGACACATTTCTTACGGCGAAATGATTTATATAGAGCGAGAGCCTTATCTTTCGCCTTGTGGTACGTTATGCAACTCCCAACGTTGAATCAGCACCGATATAAACCGCGCGATTTATGCGTCGGTTATTCTCCTCGTCGATTTTGCTTTGGTTTCGAGCCTCCCACCCAGAGGAAAATTTCCACTGTGCGTGGAAACGCGAGTTCATCGAGCGCTTTAAAAACTAAGAGTAAGAAAGCCGACATTTCAACCACAAATTCTATCACAAGAGATTCGAGAGATCGGAAGTTAGGTGTGTCCCACGCATCTACATATTTCCACGCACGTGCATACACATGTACGAATGCGTACACCACGTGCCGGTAGATTCGAGAGCCAGCGTGCATCCGCCTATACGGTCGTAGAAGACTGTTAGATCTAACTGTAACCCAGACCTACTTTCGGCTTCCTTTGGACCTTCCAGCGATTACGTACATCCACGCGCGCACAAACACGTACGTATGTCTTTACATGTGTATGCATACGGGCACACAGACAGACACACGTATCAACACGCGTTGCTCAACCGCACGGACTCCTCTTTGGAGCACGCTACACGTTTCTTGCCTCCCTTTCCTCGACGTCAAACTTCGCCGTCCTTGAACCCTTCCCACCTACCTCCCTTTTACGTTCTGTTCTGTTCTCACCCTCTCTAGCCTTCGCCAACAGAAAGACCACACTCTCCAGGCGACAAAGCATCGAGTTACTCTTTCCTCCCCGTTTTCTCTCGACGCGTCGAAACGGAGAGGAGCCAGCGCGAGCACGACTTTTCGTCGACTTTCGCCCACCTTCCTCGACGAGTGGATCTCCACCGCCTTCGTGAGAACTCCTCGCGAAGGAGAGCAGAGGCTGTTAAAGGAAACTTTTCCCCTTTCTCTCTCTCTCTCTCTCTCTCTCTCTCCCTTCGTTCCACGAGGCGGTTTTCGTGAAATCAGGACACGCGCGTGTGACTCGAGACTATGACTCGAGAGAAAGCGTTAGAAGTGGAGAATCGGAGGGAACGGGACCGTAAGGTGGTACTACACGGAGATCGTTGCACGCGCCAACGAGAATTCATATCGCTCTGTTGGAAATGCGAGGACGCCCGTTTCGGAAGTGTCGTCTCGTTTCGAGGGCAACCGGGGGGTTATCGCGAATCGCGCGGTTGGACTTTAACTGTACGACGCCGGCGTAGAATCGTGGCGAGTTGCATGCCGAAAGGAAATATTTTATTTTGAAAGTGGGCAAAAAGTCAAGCTAGCTGTTTTAACATTTACATAACTTTCTACGTTATGTTTCCATTTTTCCAAGCAAATTGCAATTAATATATTCAAAATCGCCAAGATTTTCTACATAGGAAATTAGCTGCTTAATAGAATGATAAAAATTTTTATTTTAAAAGTGGCTCAGGTCCAGCCATTCTCTCAGGAATATTACGATGTCATAGTGACGGAAAAATAACTTCATTCTAAATGAAATGAAAGGGGAGGATTTTATTTAAAATGAACCACCAGAGGACACAGTTTTTAGAAAGTTAGAAAATACTAATAGGGTTGAAAATATATTGGATGCGATTTTTGAGAACTGAACGATGTAAAATGTTCTATAAAACGTTCAATGAATGAGGACGCACTATTTAAAACTTTGGATTTACTACCGCGTTAATAATATTGAATTGTACGCCATTGTACAGAAACGTAAGACCAATCGCAACACTAAATACAACGATATGAATGGAATTATTACGCTATACCACCATAATTATTTTTCATCTCTCCTGCATACGCAAATTGGAGAAAAATGAATTATAAATTACGAAATGTTGTTTGAACGTAACATTTCTTTAATAGTGAATAAAAGTTGGATATCTTTCAATTTTATAACACAAAATTGTATATAAAATTGTATTTTTTATTTTTCTATTTTAAGGGAATTTTATTTCTTTCAAGAGATTCATGCCTTTTCAAAAATCAAAAGAGTTATTTCATTAATTTTAAAAGTAGCTCAAGTCCATTTACAACCATCATTTTCTAAACAATGTTTATCATACTAATTGGTTGGGTTGGTAAATTATACATCCTTAAAAACGCAAAAGCACACTATGTTGTCAGTTGCCAATATTTGTAAATTTATTAAAACACAAACAGTTAAATATCTTGATTCAAAAATAAATGGGCCTGAGCCATTTTCAAAATAAACGGCCTATTTATATAAACGTTTTCGTGGATCATAAAAACGATTTGACTGTATTTCGATCACTTCTTGTTGAATGTACATATGCAATCGTTGCCCTTTCAATTTTTCAAAATCAAATGATATCTTTCTAAAAATTTATTTATCTACTATTGTTACTGTCTCGGCAGCTCTCGTCATAAAACAGACGATTACGTTACCAATTGGAACAAAAGAAGACCCAGCGCAGATAGCCTGTGTTCGATCGATCCGTATAGTTCGTGTGATTATCATCACGGGGAAGAAAGTGGCACGTGGTGGGCCAACTAACCAATTAAGCGGACAGTTTTACGGTCTTCGCCAGCGATAGTGATTAATCGGTCAGATCCAGTCAGCTTTCTCTACGTGCTGCACTCCTCGTAACGGAACGTCGTTGGTTGTCTCTGAATCCTGTCTGATACCGATATATCCACGCACTCGTATATCCATACATTCGTATTCGACGGGTACACGAGCTGCATCTCGATCGTTTGAATCATTTCGACGCAAAAATAAATTGTTCGATCAATATGTTTACGACGCGGAGATGGAAGGCCAAAAGAGAGTTGAAGAAACTCGCGCACGAGCGCCGAAAGTTGCACATTCTTCTTTAACCAACAAGGCTGATAAGGAACGGAGTATCTAGCTTCAGTATGTTGGCTCATGATACCGTCTTATCACCGTCACTGATAAGTTATGCCGAATTTTATTGACGTCGAAATCGCGAGGTCTCGGTAGATTTCATTCCGCGTACAACCCGTTGCACACGGTGAGCCAATTTTTTTAACAGCGTAAATACGAACGAAGATCGCATAATACGTCTTATCGCGTCATTAGGGAAATTCTTCGTTTCACTCAGATCGACGATTGTACCAAAAGTGACTGGTAACGAAATTTTATTGCCTTCGTCTGTTCGACGCACGCACTGCGTTATCAGTGGTGATATTTAAATTATACACGCATGAAGGAAATCACTTCAATGCACTCCGAGCATTGTATTAAATATTTACAATAACACACGAGATACGCGTTCATTTATTGCACTATCAAAATCAGGCATCGATAGCTTTTAAAGAACTGTTTCGTGCAACTTGATCGCGTTTTATCAATATCTACGGCCGCATACAGAAACAAACGTGCACCAATGCAACCATGAATCGAGACACTGATCTAATTTATCTGTTATTTACGGGCTGGAAGCTAAACTCAAGTTAAGTAACGGGACACACAACGCGATGATTTAACACTAGAACTACCAGAGTGGTCAAAATGACCAATTTATAAATTTCTATGGAAATTTCATACATTTGTAACAGCGTATTTTTAGATACTCGAGTGATTTTTAATAAAATATATTAACAGAAGTTTGTGTTCTTTGTCGTATTATTAATTTCTCCTCGTATATTGCACTTTAATTTCTTTGCCGCAAATATTATACTTTGGTCGTCGGTAGTTCTAGTGTTAAAAAAAAAAAAAATAAAATCACCTTGATCGTAACGAACGCAGATCAATTTTTTAAAATTATTAATTTTTTTAAATTTTACGGTATTTTAGACAATTAAAATTTTTACAATCCGCGGTTCTTTGTAATTACGATCACGTCGATTTCTGTTTTTCTCAATCCTTTGCGAACCGTACACAATCCCGCGAAATTTCTCGTAAATTCCACACCGAGGGAATTGAATTTTTCTGAGAGAATGCAGCGAGCGAGAAGAGTGTGACACGCACGAGGAACGACGCAATGCAAACGCGAGCGCATTGCACCGCGGCTCGCCGCGAACTGCGGTTTTCGCGCGGCGAATCTGTAAGAATGTTGCATTCGAGCCGGGGGAAATGACGCGCACCAGCAACACGCTGCACGCGCGTATATTCGCGTATACTATACGATACATATACACGCACGAAGGAACGATGTGCAAGGCAGGCCTGAGATTCGCATGCACGCCGACTGACTCTGCGCGAGTGGTGACTCGCCCCGTGTGATTGGATGAAATAGGGGTAGGAGGCGGGCCAGTCCACCGCCGCTGCACCTCGCCTGCAGTCGAGCACGTGCACCGGCTCGCGAATCGTGCAACTGGCTGCACACGTATGCACGCTGCAGCCCGCCAGGTGAGAGCACGTTCGCGCGCAAGTAGTGATGGCACCGCTTTGGTCAGACACGGAAGCCTCCGCGCCGCAAAGCCATCGTTTCTTTCGGCAATTCTTCGCGAGTTCGATACGAAACTGATAAGTCGAGAGAACGCGATTAACATTTGCGTCGTCATTGCAGCGGGTTGGCATTATCATTCGTTCGCACGTGGTCGCAGGTTGAATTTCGTTCGATCAATCAATCTTCAACAACGTTTAGCATTCCGCGTGGATGAATTTCGAACTAGCGAAAAATTAACTAACTTGACTGAAAGTTAAGATCGCGAGTCGTTTACTGAACGTTTACTGAGCGTTATTCGAATTGTGAATTCATCGTGTCCGAGTGTTTCTGTACGAATTTTTCAAAAGCTCGTTTACGACGTTACGGAGAGGCATCGTCGTGATATATACGCAGACGGAATTAAGGTCTAAAGATAATAATTGCAAGGAACGTACGAATGAGACTTACCCTCGCAGAACAGGGTGACATCGCTAAGACTCTCGCTTTTGAACAAATTCGAGAACGCTGTCGCTAGGTTGCTGCCGAAACTATTCCACTTGAGACAGAACTGCTGATGAGAGTCCATGATGCCACCCCTAGGCCCGACCCCGTGACCTTCGCCACCCCTGTCTCTGCCACCTTCAAGTAGATATTTTCCTTCTTGATCACGCTCGTGCCCAACGGTTCGTCCAGCTGTACAGAAAGCAATCGTTCTTTTAAAAAAAACCATCTCCCAACGTGCGAGAACAACAGCATGTAAGTATTAAATCATTAACAGCTTTGTTCCGAGAGTGAAAATATTGCTCGTCAGAAATCTTTGAAATGTCCACGTTGTGTTCGTGTCAGAAAAGCAATCGTGTTGCCGATTCATAGATAATAACGGATAATTCACAACAGCTCGAGGGATCGATCGAACAGACCGGGGTTGCGAGTCATTGAATCGAATCGACACAGCGAGTTGCTCGTACTCTGCACCGTGTCACGGAACGTTCTACCGGATTTCCGTGACACGAGCGATAGAGGCTCGAAACCTACCGATATCGTTACCACGTCCGCACGATACAGTGGCACCGATGATGCATCGATGATCGCGCACCATTCGCGGTACAATCTGTACAACGTCTCTCGTGATCACGCGATGCACGCTCGTATCTCCGATCCACTTGATAGGAACCACTTTTGTCGATTATCGTGTCACGAGCTCGCCTCAACTCACTGAACAGAGCAGCAGCAGCAGCAGTACTCTCCGTACCGGTCCCGCGTGCATGCGTCCACGCGGCGCATGATACACCGAAAATATTCCACGTTAATATTTCACGCACTGATTCTACCTCGGCGCTGTCGGGTACGAGCCACAGGACGACTGTGGACTGACTCCGAACAGAGTAAACAAGTAACCGAAGCAAGAGAACGGAGAAACAAAAAATAAAGAAGGACGCATTCGAAACAAGATGAATCGTCGTAAAGTGTGTGCGTGTATATATGTGTGTGTATGTGTATGTGTGTGTGTTGTGTGTTGTGTGTGTTGGGACACTGGTTTCGTCGCGTGGTACACTGGTAAACCCGAGTTTTACTTGGTCCTACCCGGCCGAAATCGTGTCACCGACTTGCATCGCGCATCGCCGCGGACTCGAAGGAAACGAATCACGCGTAACTGTCCGTCGTTGCGTGTTCTCTCTCTCTCTCTCTCTCTCTCTCTCTCTCTCTCTCTCTCTCTCTCTTTCACCGCTGACTCCGTTACTCGCGTGCACGCTGTGCTTACGGTCTCTCTGTCTTCTTTCTACTCGCGAGGTAGCGATGACGATTGCGACGACGACAACGACGGTGTAGTACACGCGCGGGAGGATCGTGCGTGCGTGCGAACCAGAGAGAGGGATCGAAGAGGCAGAAGAGAGAAGGAGGTATCGAAGACGAACGCCGGGCGGTGTGCGGTCGTGTCGCGGAGGAAAGAACGTGAATATGGGTCATCGGTGCCGATGCAAATGCGGTTAGACGAAATAGTGTGAGTTCGGTGTACTTTCGGGGGGAGGTCGGGCGGCGGTAGAGCACGGTTGGAAGAAGAGGGAAGGTCGCGTAGGTGGGGGGGAGGGAAACCGAAGGAGAAACGTCCACCGAGTAGGGGAAGCAAGATTCGACTTTTTCGACGAGGGGTGGGGCAAGATTGCTTAAGGCTGGTAGAACTTTAGTTCTATGTGGTGTTCCGTACATTCTACATTTCTCTCTCTCTCGTCGTTTCTAGTCTCTCTTTCTCTCTCTCTCGTCGTTTCTAGTCTCTCTTTCTCTCTCCTTCGCTTGTTACACGCTTGTTCCTCGCCAAATTCCCCTCGCTCTCTTCCCGTTTTTGTCTCTTTCCTCCGAAGAGACTCGTCCATTGTCTCCTTGTCGTTCCTCCACGATCCCATATATCCCCCTTTAACGCTTCTAAGGTATCACGAATCCCCGCCATTTTCCGATCTAACACGTGCCAGGGACGAAACGCAGAAACGTGGCGCCACTCGGCAAGAAAACTCTCCCGCGAGACGTGGGAAGGGATCACGGTCACTGGAAATTACGTCACTGCCCTACGAAAAGTTCAATCGGCCGTGGACTGTGCAACACCGGCCGTCGATACATCCATCATCTGTTCCATTTTTAGGAGAGAAGAACTTTGGGAACGACGTGATTTTTGTTAAATTTTACGTGAACAGCTGAACAAGGACAATTGAGAAATTATAGACAAACGTTCGTTAATGGTTAAAATAAATTTGAATGAAAAATGGCAAAGCGATGCTACGAAACGGCTTTATCGGTCGTATCTCGGCCTGTTTACCAAAAATGAAGCGCAACGAATTCGATTTTCATGGCGCTACACTCTGCTAGCACCTTTTCACACCTGTCGCCGAGAGCCAACGTTCCAAGGGTCACGCTCCGGGTCACGGCGAATTATCCCTAAGTCAGAGATTCGAGCAGTGTGGCAAACCACCTATTTATTCATCGAATGCTCCAATCTCGCGGGAGGTTGAGGCTCGAGAACCGCAAGCTGTTTGTCTTCGGCTTTGCCGAACAACTTGAAAGGCAAACAGAAACAGCTACATACGTAAAACGAGCACGAGCAACGACGTGCACACGACGTTCTTGAACGCGTGTGTCACGGCTTATGTAACGCGACTGATTTTTGAAAGAAGGAGAGAAGGAGAAAAGGTACCTCGTGTCTGAGGTTGTCGAAATTGCAGTTACGCATCGCCGTGTGCTCGTCGACTGAAGCGCGCGACCATACGGGCGCGCACACGAGTCGAGGTCACGGAGAGGATTTACGAGCGAGCCGAGTGAATCGAAACGAAATCACCGACTCGCGTCATCCTCCGATCTGACGAAAACCCTTTTCGACGATACGAGTCTGTTGCACGAAAGCCATCTTGCCAAATCGTAGATTTCTCTTCGTTTGCTTTTTATCTATCTATCACACGCTTTATTCATTTGGAATTTTGTTACAGTTTCGTTACACGTGTCAAGTCGCGTTGATCGTGAAATCTGGAAATTATATATTATATACACAGAGAACAGAGAGAAAGAAGCGAAGAAAGTTTCTGTATTAAAACTCGGCGAACCTCTGCAAGTAGAATGGGTCGGTACTACTCTGGCAAACACGAACGTCAGACACTTGCGAGCAAAATTTCAAGTATCTGGGCATCATTTAAGTACTCGATGGACTGTATTCGGGAAATTTCCGATTATTTAAGTATTTAAGTATTTAAGAGAGACTTTTGGTAATGATAACAGAGTTAATATTTTGACGTTGGCGTGAGAACGAATTGTACACGGTTGATTTCAAGGGGACGACGAAACGTCATAAAGAACGACGGAGAGATTCTAATCTACCGCCGTTCGTCAAAACACCACCGAGGGGATAATTTATGAAACCCACGCCCCTAGAACGACACCAATGTGGAGCGACGCTTATATACGTCCCTGGTCCGCCAAAATTTAGTGTGCACTCCCTGCTCCGGCATTGCGTGCGTGCAAGAGGCGTCGAGCCTCGTGAGGGGATAGAAGAGTAAAGGGGAAAAAGCGTAGGAGTTGTGGGGAGATACGAGAGAGAGAGAGAGAGAGAGAAACTGTCAGAGGGCCATTGAGAGGGACAGAGGCGAACGTAACAGCAGAGAGTAATGAAAGGAAGGGGTATGAAAACGAGTGGGGAAAGGGCGAGAGAGAGAGAGAGAGAGAAGGTAGATGGAAATTCAGCCGCTCGAAGCATCGCTGCGTGGCGTTCAGCGATGGCCATCGAATTCCTTCCTACGAGTTTCCAAACAATTTCATTGAAAAAAAGATTCCCACCACTTGGTAAATATGGAACAAAATTGAATTTCGATCCGAGTTCAGAAGCGAAGCTGATTAACTCTACTTTGGGAAATTTTAAAATTTTGGGGCAGATCAGTGTGTTGTCTTTACTTGACAAGTAAAGCATAAAATTTCCATCGGAAATATTAAAGTGAAAAAAAGCAGAAAATGTTTATGGTAAATGTAGAACAAAACTGAATTTTGGTCCAAGTTCAGAAGCCAAGCTGGTTAATTTTTGAAATTAGTTCATGTACCGAATTTAAAATATAGAGTAGATCAATGTTGTCTTTAACTCTAGAACTACCTACAAGTAAAGTATAAAATTTCCATCCGAAACATTAAAGTAAAAAAAAAGCAGAAAATGTTTGTGGTAAATATAGAACAAAATTGAATTCCGATCCAAGTTCAGAAACCAAGCTGATTAACCTTTGGAAATTAGTTCATGTACCAATTTTAAAATATGGAGTAGATCAATGTTGCCTTTAACTCTAGAACTACCGACAAGTAAGACGTAAAATTTCCATCGAAAACGTTAAAGTAAAAGAAACAGAAAGTCTTTGTAATATAATCTACGATAAGCAAGCTTCTACTTGTGCATTTTATGAAGAAGAGTCATTTTGACCATTTCGATAATTCTAGCTCTTAAAAGTTGGTACGAGGACATTGTACATCTTCCAACTTGGAAGTTCTGAAAGCGAAAATGCCCGAGTTATCAAATTCCGACGATACGTTCAACCCTCCGCCGTAAGTCTGACACAAAATTCTCCTCAGAGTAACCCAAAAACTCTCGATCAATCAATCGAGACCGAACGTGTCTCGAGCCCATCGCTGGCTGCGTGGCGCTCTTAGTAAAGGAAAGCGAAAGGAAGGGGGAGAAACAGAGAGAGAAAGAGAGAGAGAGAGAGAGAGAGAAAGAGTAATTGCGGCATCGGCTACACAGGGGAGGGAGATACAGTGCGTAAGGTGGGGAACGGAGGTGGCAGGAGAGGCTCGCGGGAGGACCGAGGAGGCTCAAGGTCGCTGCGGGGCCGCACGCGCGCCCCTGGCCACGCACACAACGCCGCGACACGCGCACGCACACGCGCACGCTTGCGCGACGCGCTGCAACACGGGCGTGTGCACGAGGGGATGGGTGGGCGGACGAGCGGGGGATGGTGGAGGTGGTGTGGAGGGGGAGGAGGAGGAGGGGAGGGGGGGTGAGTGAGTGCGCGCTGCAGCGCACACGCGGCGCAAGCGCACAAACCGCGGCGCGCGTTCCTCGAGCTGCTGTACGACCCGCCGATTTTCGCGCTCGCGCCAACCGCGTTCGTCTGTACATGTCCTATGTGTCTGTGTGTACACGCGTGTATACTTATGCACGACAGCGTATCTCATGGCGTATCATTTGTCACCGACTTTAGCCTGCGGAAAGGACACGCTGTTTTTGGTAATCGAAGAGTCTGCAACTCTAAGATTCGTCGAGAGAGGTTTGAAATGGAAAAAAATTCTGGTTGACTCGCGAATGATGGAAAAAGTGAAGCTGTCTGCTTTATTCCAGCGCAACCCCTTTCAACTGGAGCGTAAGAAAATATTTGGAGAGAGGCCAAGGGTCGTTTCGGAAAATTGAAAATTGAAAACGACGTTGAGGTAGTTAAATTTCAGATGTACGAACGTCGGTGGAAGCACTTACGGGTGTCGAGTGGCTTGATGATTCTTGGAAACCGTCGTACCAAAGATCCAATTAACGTCGACTATCGAGTTGACGGTTCTGTCGCGCGCAATAAGATCGCGAAAATTGTGCCTCGTTGTAATGGCATTAGAAGCCCGTTCATTCCGGGAAGAATTGCCGTTTCGTTGGACGAGTTATACGGCTGTTTTATAGCTCTTTCGCCTCGGCCGAGGCGTACTCTATGGCGAGTGACGGCGAGGAAGACGCGAAATTGACTCTGAAAGAATCGTGACGAGCAAAATTGCTTTCTTTGCTTTACTGACACTGACAGAGTGTACCTTTTTGTGCCGTTGATAATAAGTAGTTTCGTCAACCATTGATCGATGCATCCTACAGCCGATGCATTCGATATACTTTTGACGGATACAAAGATACAAACTTGATTATTGCAAAAAATTTTGAAAATATGTCACTGAAAATCACAGTTTCTCGAGGAAAATCGCGTTTGCGTGAGGAAAAAGCTTCGCGCGAACGGTAATAGGAGTGGCGGCGGCTCACCAGGCGAGCATTCCTGGGCCCGAATTACCGTTGTTTTTCTCTCAGATAGAAAACTGCATTAGTGCATTACACTGTGTAGCTAGTAACCGAATTATTTCGCCGATTCGATTAAAGACCCGCTGCTCTCCACGTGTAGGTGCGAGACCACTGCTTTGATAACTCATTCTGTTAACCAGTTCGGTCAAAGGTATGGGTTACCGTAGCCAAGGATGTCCATTTTCTTTGAAAACGAACATCCCGCTGAGAAGAAAGATGCTACACGACGGAATGTAATTTAGAAGACGCCATTGTCACATCGCGTGACAACGAAAATTGTCTCTTTGAACGTGTTAAATTTGCAGCCGACAGATAAATTACTTTCGCCTAGTAATTCCAAATTTAAGTAAATTTCATCTAGAATTTAAGTAGATTCAGCTCTGATTCAGATCTTAACGTAAGAAATCTTCAACACTCTTCGCAATCGGTTCAATCGTATAATCTGGATACGTGAGATCCAGATTAAACTTGCACAAATTTCGAACGTTTGGCGACTGAAGCGCACTGCGATCTCGATATCAAGCGGCAAGCCAGAAAAACGCAATTAGGCGTTTGCCATTCCTGCGCGCTCGCCCCCATCGAAATTCGAAGAGGCATTCGGGGAGCAGCCGCGGTTGCGTCACAGACGGAAGCGACGTGGCGCAGCACGAAGGGCGATAACGTTGTAGAAAACACATTCTACGAACGAGCTGGCCGTGAAGTATAGTCAATACTGCAGCCAACGATTCCTACACCGCAGCACTGTTTCCCCCTTATCCGACGATTCCCTCCGTAGCTTCCGCCCCCCGGAACGAAAGAGAAAGCGAGAAACAGAGAAAGACGAGATTTGCGTGAATCCTGAATCCCGGTAATAATTGCCGAAGGGTAGGGAAAACGCAGAGAAAGGGTTCTCCCCGTCTGATGAAAATTTCGGCCTGAAAATGCAAACGTACTCCGTAATACGGAGAAGAAACGCTCGATGGGGAAGAAGTCTGCGTTGGAGGGAGGAAAAAAAAAGGAAAAAAAAAAATAAAAGAGCAAATAATCGTTGCGTCGCCCGGGAACCTATGGATTAAATCGATCGTCTCGATTGGAGATTACGGTGGAGAAATATGATGACAGAGTTCTGCTGATCGTCTGATTCTGATTATTCCTTTGTTTGGCATTTAACGTAAGCTACGGTGAAAACGACAGACGACAAATCGAAAAAAGTCTAACGTCTAAAGTAGAATGTGACGATCAATATTTCTCGAGAGGAAATTTAACAAATTATACAAATATTTGTTACATTTTTCTTTCTTTTTTTTTTGAAGAATTCGAAAAGAACAGAAGAGCTGGAATAGAATAGATAGAAGCAAATGACTGGGAAGTTTCATTAGTTTCATGCACAGAGAGCAGGTGTTCCTTTATCGAAAACAAGCTCTCGGATACTGTGTGACGGTTCTTACAAATCGATGTAGGGACCTGATCTTGATACGTATACCGGTAACAATTTATTTCGCTGACATTGTAATTAAGATAAGTGTCTTCGTGGTTATTCGTGCGGGTTTAACGAAACAGATGCCAGCGGTACATGCGATACATTCGAAGGATCGGAACACTTTCCTTTTAAATAAACCAGATAAACCTTCCCTCGAGAAAGGAAAAAGAAAAAGAGAAAATTACGTTCACGTAGGAAAATGTAAAAAGAAAAATATCTACCAAGCATGAAATGTTACGTGAGAAGATTTTGACGTGAACGCAACGTAAAGTTACGAGGAGCAATTTCAATTTGCGACCAATTTAAACTTCGTACGTTTGAGAGATTCCCAATTTTTCGTCCGAAAGCGTGCGAAATAACATTCAAAGGATTCTGAACGCACAAAAGGTATATCGGTACTCGTGCATCGGGGCAAATTGAACGAAACTAAAGGGTGCTGCACGTGCAGTTAATGACACGTGCCGATCTGCCTATCGACCCGACAGATGCGTACTTTACGATTGTTTGTCGCCTCGCGAAGGCGTGAAGCGCGAGAATCGGTGCCACGAGGACGCGGGAAACGGTGACGAGAAATCGAGCGTACATACGCTGTTCCGCGCGAGGCGAAATTGGCGTGAAGACGAAATTGGTGCGATCCACAACCGAGGATTTCACGGTTCACGCGGGAATCCAACGGGGAGACAAGGAGCAAACAGCCCTCAGCGATGGGATTTCGTTCTCTTACGCGAAGACGAGGCCTGACATAAATTCGACTACCAACACTCGCCTACGATTTTCCTTCCACTGTTTGATGTCTTTCCCCTGTTGTGCGTATATTTATTCTACCGTTTAAACGCAAGTTCCATGACAAGAAGGGTTTCTTTCGTTACTCTTCTATAACACGTTCGAACTTCAAATCTTGATTACATATAACCTGGATATGTAGATAAATAACGTAATCGATTGAAATACGAGATGCTGATTTGTCACTACTACTCTCATATCGACAATCCTAACGCGATATTAAATATGTTCGATCACAAACGACGAGCAATTTTACGAGCCACATCTGGGAGAACTTTCTCTCAAATGTCGAATTGTCTCGGGTAAAAGAATAGCATCTGCCATTATTTATTGCAACGCGTATCTTACGTATCGAAGCGTAAAAGATAGCGTCTCTCTTTTCGCTGTAAAATAAATGCGTGACGATACGTTTGTCGAAAAGAGGTCGTTGACGAGGTAGCAAGTTTCAAGCGGAAGAAGTACGTAATAATGGAGCGAAGCGTATTTCAGGCACTAAAGTCCACGAGAACCGTGGCAAAGGGACATTAAGCAGAAGAAATGGAAGCCGTGCATGGTTATTCTTTTACAGCCGAGCGTAGCTTCCCACCCAGGCACCGTTACGCGGGATGCACACGCGTGCACGAAACGTGCACGTAGCACGTGCATGCGCTGCATAAGATTAAACAAACGAAACGAAACGGGAGTTGTCTGAATCGTGAGTACTGTAAGCGTAAGTAACGGTGACTCGGCGTTAAACGCGCATGAAGCTATTCGTTTACCGAAATTAACGGTCAATAAGAATGCACGAAGTGGGAGTTTGAATTCCACCTGGAGCGGGAAAAGAAATTCACTTCTACGATTTGTCAACAGGTAGTTTACTGGCCAAAAAAACGTCACTTCGTGACGAGTCAACGTTACGCGAGTACAGACTCTCATTACCATCCACGTTATCACCCACAAGTCATACCAAACCGGCACATCGATGATCGAGCAATCCCCCTCTGTGAACATAACTGATCACGATCGATCACCAGCAACCACACCGAATGCGCGCGACTTTTTATTTCACCAACGCAAGCCGCGAACGAGTGAAACCAATTCGTTCATTCAGTCATCGATACGGTATTTCTTGTCGGTACGGTTCCCCGATCTGTCGATCGTGATAGTTGATATATCGATAGCCGACTAATGACAGACTTTAAGACTGAGCGAAATATTCAGAGAAATTGCGTCTAGTAATGTGAACAGGGTAAACACGGTGTACCTGGCGGATGAAGCCACCATGAATTGACCAGGGATGGTTCTTGGTTGCCGTGGCCCTCGCCGACAGGGGCGTACATCCTCCTCCGTCTACGTCACGCCCGTCACTGCCGCCCCGTGCGGCTGCACCCCCGACTGCCTTCAACCCATAACCCACCGCTCCTCCCGGGATTCCTGTCACTTCCCCTTCCTCCGTGTACGCAAGAGGGTTGCAAGGTTACCGATACCCCCTTCGCCCCACTGTGCCCTCCAACTGGCCGACCCACCCCCCGCCTCAGTCACCAACCACCCCACTCGTGACCACCTCGAGCTCTTCGCGTTCAAGGTGGAGGAACAACCGCCTCCAACGTCGAGCGACGCACAACCACCCCCCGAGGAGTCGGTTTTCCTACGCAAGCAACCGGCCAGCCACAGCCATCACTTTCGCTAGAAAGTCCTCAGCCTGCCACGAGGGCGGCCTCAGCCAGGGCTGACGTTGCAAAGAGCGAGCAACCATCAACTTTCTTTCTTTCTTTTTCTTTTTCTTTTTTTTTTTCTTCTTGTTCTTTCCCTTCCTTCTACTCTCTTTTCTTTCCTCCTCTCGTCCCTTTTCATCCCTCTTTCTACTTCAATTCTTCTCATTGCCGTGCAAAAGTACGTCCTCCTCGATGAACGCGTTTGCCCGACGTTCGCCAGCCAGTCGGCCAAACGCTCTCTTTCTCTGAATCGATAAGATAATTTGACTAGCGCGCTACCGGACGAAAAAGAGGACGACGAACGAAACAACGACGCGTCGAATCGACGAAATACACACCGTTGCTATGCAATAGACGACCTGGCAACTTTTGTTGTGACGAGTTCGCGTTTTCGGGGGACGATTCGGCGAGACACGAATGAAAAAGCGTTCCATGACGGAGTTTTTGAGTTTAACGTCATTGGTGATGCGATGCTAACGTTAGGCGAACGTTATTTAGTTGTTTCATTCTATTTGTCAAGTATTTGAACATCACAGTAACTCTCCATTTTTGTTAATTTATCGAGAGATAAATTTATACGTGCGGAAGCAAACCGAAATGCAACGATAACAAAAAATGTATTTTAGTTGATACACTGGTCTATTATGCTACGCTATTCTATGCTATGTAACACGTATATTATACCGAGTTCTAAACTTTTCTGGATTTCACATTGACTTTTTCGCTGAATTCTTTACTAACTGACACGACGATCGAATCTGCATTTATATTGACACACATACTCTCTCTCGTATACGTACTTATCTATTATTTCTAGGACAGATATATGCTTATGCGCGGTACCTTGCAGTGCGGTATCATTATGCCTCGAGCAACTCGGTCATAAAGTTGCTAGCTTTCTACATACATATAATTGGAGTTGACGTACTTAACAAGAGACCACTGATTGCATTATCTATTTGTGAGAAAAAAGGAGCGACAGATGCAGCAACAGTTTGTCTCGGAACGAAGTATCGAAGTGGAAATATTCAAAATCTGCTTAAGGTATCGGATTATGTATGCCGATAGAGCCGCGATACGCTCGTAAGTATTTTTCAATCGTTTCAACCGTGAAGACCGTACGCACGAGATGCGTATACCAAATGGTATCTGTTAGTCAGATTAACTAGGTGACAGAAAGAGAGAGAGAGAGAGAGAGAGAGAGAGAGAGCGCGTTTGTTTCACGGGTCGACAGTTTCTGGCGTCAACACATTAATTATGACTGTCCACCGTTGCGTATGCATCTTCATTGCGTTCAAGATAGAGGAATGAGAAATGAAATGTTTCCTAACTAGGTGACACGTTCGTTACGTCATTTGTTTTTCCAGCAATGTATCATTATACCGTAAGCTAAACGCTAGAAGCAAAAAACTTGGAAAATGTTATAATCTTCATTTTCTTTCGATATCATTGTTGGATATAATATTAATTATCTAATTACGTATTGAATGAAACTCCAACGCGTGTTGACAAGTTCAAACGAAAATTCAACTGAGACATAATTAAAAACCCTTCTGATAATACAAAAACAGGTTGCCCGGCATTTAAAATTCGGCGAACGCAGAAAACGAGCATACGAAGCGTAGCGCGTATCCCCTATTTTATTCCATGGCTGGCATAGTTGGGATCGCTCGATAATTAAGGCAACGTTTCGCATACCGCGATCCCCTGGAGATTTTTTCTTTTTTATCCTTCAGTCAAGAACAATCTAACACGATGCATTCTGCGAGAGGAGAGGCCCGTAGAAAAATTTTTCGAACGCGTGCCAACGAGGAATTCCGCGCGCCCCAAGCTACCTACGTTCCTGAAGATAGCAACAGCAACGTGGAGGGGAGAACAACCTTGCAAGCTCTCACACCCCCACGGTATGCGTGGAGCTGCGTCGGTGGTAGGGCCTGAAATTTTGGAGGTTGGCAGAATCGGTGAGTACGGAGGGGAATTGAAGGACGAAAAACCAGGGAGGGAGGCAGAGGAACGAGAGGGATGATGTCCTCGGGAGCGGTGGAGGTTAAAGGGGGCAGTCTGAAGGGAGCCAAGCAACCTGCACCCGGCAACAGCCCCCGACCTCGGAAGAACTAATCATTAACCTCCTTTCACCCTCCCAAACACCGCTCTAACTCGACCACCTTCGCTTCACTTTCACCTGTGCCTCCCTTTCTCTCTCTCACTCTCTCTCTCTCTCTCTCTCTCTCTCTCTGTCTGTCTTTTGTTCTCTTTCCTGACTAACCCATTCACCCTTCCTCCGCGAGTTTCTTTCTCGTTTCTCGAATTCGCCCACGTTCCGCGCAATTGCGATTACTATTTTGCGGAGTTTTTCTACGATTCTCGCTTCAATACTGTTCCCTTCTCTGCAACATGTTACTTGTTTGAACCTTTACTGACATCACGGTACGTTAAATAAAAATTCGTCTTCCTTTTAAGAGGGAATATGGGCACACAACGCAAAATGGATAAAGCTGTTCGTAAACTAGTTTCATCTAGGAGATTCGCGCCAAGGGTTGCAGTAGAAACCCTGTTGCTGAACTTACATATGTGTGTGTGTGTGTGTACTTGCGTTAAAGGTTGCACCCTGTGCAACCCTCCGAACTTGAAGGCTGTGGTACACAGATAAACGCGAACAGATAGATCAATAAATACGCGGATACGTTAGTACACGTGCGTTACTATGCGTTCTGCGGTGCATTTCACTGCAATAATTATGGAACATGTAGAGAACTGTGTTATAAATAACACATGTCTCCATTTTATTTCAGATTCTTGTCGTTAATTATCGTTTATTAAGCAAAGTTTTGAAAGTTACGACGTTCAATTATCCTAGAAAGCTATTTTCCTCGAATACAAAAATTGTGTTTTCCGCTAATAAAATGGAGTATTCAAGGACAACACACTACAGAAGGCAGCATCATTAACCCTCCGCCTACTGTGCCGGAGTCATTTTATGCCGTATTGAGAGCTACTCGAATGCAATAACGCATACAGTGATGGGAGCTACTTGAGTTAGTAGCCAAGTGGCTAACACGTGTCCGCCAAAGTGCCAAAGTGACGAAGACCGAAGACAAAAGAATCAGTTTTTGGTAACGCTCGTGAGGAGGAACGACGTGTGCAGCAAATCAAAGCAATTATTATTTTTGTTCTTTTTATTACTTTTTTCCGTTGTTTTTATTTGTTTCCATTTGTTGACGCAATGTTCTCATTGCCAACGAGCAATATTTCTTTGTCTTCTCTCCCGCTCAACATGCACTGAACAATCATCAGACAACGAAAGTGTATCAAATAGTGACGCTGAACCCCAAATGCAAGATTCCAAGAAAGTCGAAATGCAAGAAAATATACCAAAAACTGTGGATAATGTAGTCCTAGAAAACCAGGAATTTGGACGTAACTGGCAACGTATTGGACCTAGCAAGGATACAGCGATTGTCTCTCGTCAATGTATAAATATAAATAAATATAACTTTATTATTCATGTGATTATTATTTGTTCCTATACGAGTCGGTTGTCTGTCACTGTGTTGGTACAATATCGGCGAGGACCTCGGTCTCGAGCGACCATCACTCTGTGTTTAGTACTCGGGCGATCTGAATATGTGTTGATGGAATGTCCGTGTAGGTCATAAATGACTCCGGCACAGGACTCCATGCTTCAGTGAGTGAGTTAAGGGACGATTTTCTAAATAATTCAGTATCTCACCTAGTAGGACAGTTGTTGCCCGAACAACTGCTAGTCGTAAGTAGTTTTAATCGATGTAATCAGTTAGTATCGACGTTAAACGCACGATTTAACCATCGAGTCACTCTATTTTGTCGACGTACACGGCGATTGTCGTTTATCCGGCTCTGTATCTTGATTTACGCGTCGACTTTCAACCCGATAAGATCTTTTATACGACAGAGAGGTTAGGGTGGTAAGGCGGGAGAGGGACAAACAAAATCGATCAATGACACTGGATGAAATCGGAGAAACGTTTTCGGACGAACAGCTGATTCGAGGAGAATCGGCCAACTCCGAGAAATCAGTGAAGAATTGAATTAATTTTCTTCGAGATTTTAATCGAACGAACGAGTCGTATTCTTAAACACAAATTAACAACTTATTCTTAAGAAGAGGAAATAGAAGAAGAAGAAGAAGAAGAAGAAGAAATGCATTGAACTGCATCCTTGGAAAGGGCGTTACGAGAAAGAGGGATAATGGAAGGAAGACAGAAGCGTACGATGGAGGAGCGGGCGCTCTCTCGTGCGAAGGTCGAGTCAGTGGTTGTCGAGGAAGAAGGGTGCGCGCGGTATAGCCGAAAGAGGGGACAAGAGGGGCAAGATGCAACGCACATCTATTGATTCTCCTTCAGCATGAAGGTCCGCGTGTCCCACTCACTTTCGGAAGCGCGCACGCACGCACGCACGCACCGGCCAACCAACGAACGCACTCTCGCGCTTTCCCTGGTTCGCGTCCGCGTACACGAACACGGACACGTGGCCAGGTTACTACTATGGTATGGCTGCGTGTGTGCACACACGCGCACGCCCGAGTGCGTCCCGATAGTTGAATGCAGGGCTCAACACAAAACGTTCTCTCTCTCTCTCTCTCTCTTTCTCTCTCTCTTCCCCTCTCGCTCAGTTTAAAGAAGGAAGGAAAAGGAGAAGAACAAAAAAAGAAAAAAATAAAAGAAAAGGGGAACTGGATTTTGCAATCTCCCTTCCGTGCATTCCTACTGTGAATTTCCTTGGCCGGCTGCATAAAGAATTAGAATGCCAGAACGCGCACACCGTGCAGCTTGTACGGAGGCACAAGGTAGAGAGAAAAAAAAAAAAAAGAAAATAGAAAAGAGAAGTGGAAGGCACAGGAGGGCAGAGCCACAGGGTTGAGGAAGAGAAAGAGGGTTGCGCAGCGTTCTAAAAAGTCCGGCAGCCGCGGCTTTGCACTTGCAACTATGCTGCCAGCACGAGTATATCCTTCGCTCTCTCTGAAATTCCGAAGGGTAAGCCATCGGCTTTGCAAACAGTAAACCAGATCGGCACAGAGAGACACACACTGCCTTTCGAAGGTTGAATAACAAAGTGCACGAAACTGCCGAACAACAACGACTTTATCGCCTTTGTTGGTGGAACCAGATTGTCCTATGTCATCGAAATGGGTAATTAACTAGAGGCAACCGAAAAATATGGCCTCTCGAAGGGATACACGTTACGAATACAAAAACATGTATGTATATACAGTGGTTACAAAAAATAGTGGCACATCATTGTATTCGTCAGAGTGTTTCACATGCTGTGTTAATTAACTACGTCAAAATTTAAATTTCTGAATTCTATAAAAATTCGAAACGTAGAAACTGATAAAAAAAGAAAAACGCTTTACTAGAAAATTAAGTTACGTGCTAATACCTTTTGTAGTTACCTATGTATGCCTGTGCAAGTCTATGTATACCTATGTATGCGCAGGAAGAAGGAAGCACGAATCTTGCGAATTATTGAACACCTAACAGAATATAGATGGATTTGTTTAGTTTAGAGACATTGAAATTTTACGTGCGTAAATATTCATAGAATTCAAAAGTTATGCGAATGCTGAACAATTAAAGATATTTTACAAATATTATACGAATCTTCTCATCGAATGTTGAATCAAAGATATAAGAAAATATTGTATGAATCTTCTTACCGAATGTTGAATCAAAGATGTCCCAAATAGCGTAGATTTCAATTTCAAGCAATTGATCGTAAGTCAATAGTTACACGCGTTAATTTTATATAATAATAAAAAAATATATATATATATATATATACGAATATATACGAGATACGATGGAGAATCGAGTAGCGGAATCGACTTCCGATATGCAGGACCGACCTTAGTATAATGACCGTTTCGAACGATCATGATCTCGTCTTTGTTTACATGAACCGTAAGGCACGCAAATGGTATCGCAAAAACTATGAGACTCCTATTCGAACCGTTAGCAGGATGCAAAGTATGATTCGAATGTACAGGAGTCATCGTACCAAGCGGAACCAAACATGCAGAAACACAAACATATGCCGCCGTTAAGGTTACGAAAACAATTGTTCTAGGTTGTCGTAAGGGTCAATTTGTGAGACGAGAAATTGTGTATTGAAATCCATTCAGGTAACGATCGAATTATTCGGCGAAATGTTCAATAGTAATAAAATCGTGAGACAATTAACATAATTTTCCATTTTAATTCTGTTACGACTCTCTTTTCACGCGCCAACCTTATTTTCATTTAAACAAATGAAAACAAATTTTTTTTTTACACAAAACTCATATTTCCTGAAAATATTTTTTGACAATTGGCAAGACAGGATTGGATCCAAAATTATTATACGACAAAATATCATAATAATTATGACAAAATATTATAACCCGTTTATTCCGAAAAGTAAACGAGGTCCACTGCAGAAATTTGAAGTTCTTTATCTGTATCTCTCTGTTATTGTTTTATACTTTCACGATATTATGATATGCTTTACAATATATAGCAAATGTATATTGAAATGATGATGTAGAAAAAAAACGGAGCAAGAGTAAAATAACATAGACGTTGGGTACAATAAATAAGAACTTACGAAAATCGGTTTTCCACGCATTCGTCTCCCGCCTTTTCCCGTATTCTTTCTTCTCTGAATTTTCCAAATGTCACTTTCAATTCAGTCGTCAAAAGTTATTCGATTCTAATCCTTTCACGACGTGTCACTAAACGCCGGTACCAAGCATGGAGAAAATTCATTCTTAACAAAACATTTTCTGTTCTTATTTTAAATGTCAGATCACGGAAATCACTCGTCGTTGGTTTAAGGATCTTTGAATCATCATATAGAATGGCGGTGAAAAGATGACAGTGTATGAAAGATAACCGATTTTCGCGGAAAATACTCAACTCTTCCGTCCGTACGCTGCCAGCAGCGAAGGCGACTGAAAACAGAGAATCGGCCGGCAAATTGTCGATCGTATAGACGCCCTTGTCACGCATTGAAAATGAAAATTTGGTCCGGAATCAGTGGCGCCGCCTTACGGAAGCGAGACCGATTCGCTTGATCTTCAAGATCTTTCAAATATAGAATGTTCTCTCATTACGAAATTTACATACTGCTGCATTCCGTATTGCGATCTTACGTAATGACTTTTAAATACCTTGTCTAGTTCATCTTTGAATATTAAAATACTATATTAGTCTTCGTTTCAATAGATTTATTTATTTAGATTTGTTTAAATTACCACACATTAATAAAATTGATAGACATTAAGCATGAATAAAAATAAAAGATATAAACAAACTGTATTTTGGTTAAGCTTGAACTTTTATTTATACAGTTTTACCATAATTTATAATAGATCAATATAGCGTTAGCTTTGGTAATGAATTTTGAAATAATTACCAAATGCATGTGAGACAATTTGATATAAATTATAATATCATTTTACTACATATACTAACGCCTTAACCAACAACTAATATATCACCTTCAACAAATTCGTGAGGTGGAACTTCTAAATTTAGAGGCGCTGGTCCTTTCCTAATCCTTCCACTAGCATCGTAATGAGAACCATGGCAAGGACAATAGTAACCACCAAAATCACCAGCATTTGCTATTGGAACACATCCTAAATGTGTACACACACCCAAAACGACCAACCATTCTGATTTTTGCACACGATCTGCATCTGCTTCTGGATCTCGAAGAGATGAGACATTTACTTGTGCCTCCTTATCAATTTCTTTTTGTGTTCTGCAATCATTTCAGAACAAAAGCTGTATTCAGTTTATATGCACGAAACGTGAAGATATATAAGAATGTTTAGCAATATTTACCTGTGTCGTACAAAAAGAGGCTTTCCGCGCCACTTGAATACGGCATTCTTTCCTTCAGGAATACTATCAAGCTTAACTTCAATCTTTGCCAATGCAAGTACATCAGCAGAAGCACTTAAGGACGCTACTAAATTATGTACAATTGTTTTTACACCATAAACCATAGTAACTCCAGTTGCTATAACATATGATATAAAACATCAAAACTTATATTTCTTGGCAGTTATAGAATAGTATAAGACAAATTGAAAGATATATTTACCAGCTGTTGTAACATATGTAAACGATTTACGACTAACGGAACTTTCCTTGCTTTTGGTAGTTGGATTTTTCACAGCATCGTGACGATAATCAGTAAAGTCTGGCCATTGAACATCAGTGTGTGCCAACCTCCTCTGTGTTGCTAGTAAACTTGCTAGAAAATTCATTGAAAGTACCGCTTGTACATCGAATATTAAAAATAAGAATAATATCAATTTCAACGTTTCAAAATAGAAAAAAGATTTGCACAACAAGATTTGTGATAAACTCGATTGATACAACAGTAATCTTTGAAATTGCACTGCATACGACATACGATTATATAATCGAAATTATAGTGAGAATAAATTCTGTTGATGCATGAAATATAATAAAATAATAATGAAGTAGCAGTTTTCGAACCTCCAATTCCCGAACTCACACGCAGAGACCCTGTAATAAGAGTTTCCTGCAAACTTTCAGAAACCAGTCGACTAACGCCAGGTTTACAGACAATTTTCGATTTTAATACAACACCTGTTCCAATCACTGGTTGCAGTCCATTTGAAATGACAGTTGTCGACTTCAACAACGGTGCGAGACTTGTCGATTTCGCTACAATGTTCATTTTTCCTAATTAATCATCGACGTCCAACCGAAACAACTTCACCGAACACCAACTAAAAACCGAAGACCAAGTCTTTAGATGTCTCTGCGACGCAACTTTTGTAGAAAATTCTCTGTGAATTAACAGATGTCGCGCAATAATGTATTGAATCACTGACTAATTGCACAACTTAACCACAGACTTTCAACAATTAAAGACACTTCTAAGCAAAATTTATATGAATAAAAATTAGATATATTTATAATTTATATGTGTTGTAGCTAAATTTAATTTTCTGTTGCTTAATTTTCTTTTTCTTAGTGTTTCTTAGTTTTTAATGTCTATACTATAGACTGTAGATTATAAAATATTTTCTAATTTCTATATACTTTATACAAGTATATAATACTATAATGATATGATTTAAAAATATAAAAATTAGGATGTATATTACTTTGAGTATATTATTTTTGTAGATATATAAAGGTACATGCATATGTAGATATATGTAAATATATCATATCTAAAATTATATATGCTTAAAAAGTGATATATATTTAAAAAACTTTTTTGAGAAACATTAAAATGACATAGAAAATATTTCGTAGATGGCGCGGCTACTAGTTCAATTTTATGTACGCATTAATATCTTGATTTCTAATCTTATCCCGAGTTTTCACAAGCGCATGCAACATGCGTATAGAAACGTGTTATTTTTGTTCGTCCCGGATTTATCCGGGACACGGAATTCAGTTTGTAAGAAATGACTGTAAGGTGAGAATTTTTATACACATTTATCACAACAAAATTTCGTTTCTATACTTTTAAAAGAAATGCTCGAATCTATAATTTTTTTCAATCAAAATTTTTAGGTTATGTGTATATTTAGATGCTACCTTGTTTTTGCACTTAATAATAACAATTCTTTTTACTATATATAAATAATTGATAATTGTTATAAATCATATTGCATAAATATTACCATATATGCATATTTTCATTTCATATTCTTTCACACAGATATTCAGGTTTTGTCGGTCGAAATGTCACGCTGCATTTAAGAAGAAGAAAAATCCAAGAAAAGTCAAATGGACCAAAGCATATAGGAAGACATTTGGCAAAGAGTTGGTAGTGGATCCCTCGTTTGAATTTGAAAAGCGAAGAAATGTCCCAGTCAAATACAACAGAGAATTATGGACTAATGCAATTGATGCAATAAAGAAGGTGGAAACTATTAGACAGAAGAGACAAAATCTACACATAATGCAGAGATTGCGTAAGGGACGTGAACTAGAACAAGAAAGAGATATTAAAGAAGTTCAACGCGACTTGTCACTTGTAAGGTCACCTGCTGTAGGGTTGAAAGAAAGGAGGAAACTGGAAGAAACTGCAGAACAAGAAGAAATGCAAGATTCTAATGATGAGCAAGAACAACAAGAGATGGAAGTGAATTAGTTTTGGAATTATATCGTATCTATAATACGATAAGATGATAATTGAAGATTTTGCAATGACATAAAAATCTACAACTAAACTTACATGTACCAGATATGTTTGTGTATTTTTGTGTATTTTTTTATAGTACAACATAATTTATGTAATACATTTATGTACAACATAATTATGTAAAGAATTTGTAAATAAAAATAGTACAAAATTAAATACTGATAATAACATTGTGTATTTAAGTTAATCCACGCGTAACTAATTATTATAAAAATTAAATGATATTTAGGAATTTAGAATAAGAATAAGAAAATTTAGAAATCTGCAAATAAGACCCATCTAAAAAAAAACTAATGTAATTGTAAATATAAAAATTAAACTGTTCGAACGAATGCTTCGATCTGTGGAGTAAAATTTGTAAATCTTTATACAAGTATTTTATAGGTCAAATGGAATATAGAAAAGAAGCCATAGATGTAATTGTTAACAGGTAATTATGAAGATTTATAAATTAATTTTCGTAATTAATTTTTTTTGACAAATAAAAATTTAGTTAATTTATGGATATTGAAATGCTAGCGCCGCGTAGCGGTGAGATGGTAGAACTAAAATTATCATTGTCCTTGTCGTACACTAGTGCGATCCTTGTTTGCAGATAATGCTGCCATCTACGTGCCTTTAGTTTCGACTGGAATTAAAAGGATAAAAAGAAAAAATCCGATAGATGACAGCACGTGGCCTACACGTAGCATAAACAAGGAAGGTGTTACTCTGTGACAAGGATAGACATGTACGTGTCAAACAAGGATAGCAATAGTGTGCGACAAAAACACCAATGGATTTTAGTTCTACCGTTTTACCGCTACGCGACGCTACCATTTCAATACCCATAAATTGATTAAATCTTTATTTGCAAAAAGAACTGATTTAGATTATTTCAATTAATTCTTCCAAACTAGACTTTCAATTCTTTTTCCTACGTCTTAGTCTTATTTAATCTACGAAATGTAAATTATAAAGATTTATAATTTTTAATCAACAGATCGAAACATATGTATAATACTTTCGAGTCATGTTTAAACTGCATTTGGAATTTGAATCGAACATGGACGTAGCCAAAAGTGTATATGAGATAAATTTCACGCATAGTTCCATATAAATTTTTATTTAATTCATTTGTTACACGAATAATTATTATACATTGCAGTATTACACAGGACGATGTAATTCGCACGATTTATGTTATGTTATCTTTTGCAATTAATTTCTATCATAGATTCTGTAATTACGCAGAATTTAATTTGCACTATGACAATTTTATAAATTCAAGTACAATACTTATAATTAATTTTTCGCGTTTCACACTAAAGTTCGACCATGTTAATCAGGATTGCTCCAGATTCGCTGAGAAGATCATTACAATAGCTAAATTAAGAAGTGATCATAGAATCAGCAAATTTATTTAATAATATACCATCTTACATTACTGAATACAAAAAAAAATATATACCTCCAGTTTTTTTTATAGAAAACAGACAATACGATAATCAAAATTCAAGTGCTATGACTAGACTTCGAATCGGACACTCTAAGATCACACACGAATATCTCCTAAGCAAAACAGAACCACCTTTCTGCAACACCTGGAACCAACAAATCACCACCCAACATCTGCTACATGAATGCAAAAAATACCGAAACCTAAGAAATAAATACGGATTAAACCAAAACACCGCTCTAACCTGTCAGAAACAACAAAAAAACGTTATCAACTACCTGAAAAGAGACCCAACTAATAGACCAGATATAAAGAGAAAATTTCAACGCGTCGCTAAAGACCTAGTCGATGCGACTCTAAATCCCCATATAAAAAAAAAAGTTCAGGTATGTGTGGGATGGGCAAATTTTGGGAAAGGGCCCAGAACTTTCTCCAGTGCCCAATAATTGCAACCAGATGTCCCAAGTGGCGTACTGTAGAGAAAGTTAAGCCTGGGAATGTTAATGGCTAGCCCTCCAGGCTTACAATTAGCACTTAAGATATTAAGGTTATGGATGCGTTTGTGTCTATGTGTGTATGAATGACGAATTTTGTGCAGATAAGTAAGAAGGCAGTGAGTTTCGAGAAGTCAGGGAGGACAGAGTGAGTTGCGAGCCGTGAAAGCGAGAAGACCAGAGAGTTGTGAGTCCTGAGTGAGAAGATTGAGTGCAAACGCAGCGTATTAAGAGAAAATAGTGTAAAACGTCATCTTATAATCATTATTAAACGAATTTTCTTCATTTAACTTTAAATAAACAAACATCTTTTTACCCAAATTCCTACAAATGTAACGATTAATTGTAAGTCTCTCTCTCGTGCTCTCTATACTATAAAACATACACATACTCGCACATCATGTTACTGACAATATTCTAACACGTAATGACGTAAAAGATTCGCAAACGAAGATATCAATCACATCAGTCTACGATAAAATTTTATATTATATGGTTTACCTAATTGTAAGTATTTCTCGTGCTCCGTTGCCGGAGGGTTAAATCTACACTGACCCACAACATCATACCGCTGACAATACCGTTAATATTAATATATACTCACGTAAAAGATTGCAAACAAGGACATTAATCACATCGATCCGTAGCTGTTTGAGGCGCAAAAGGAAAGAAAGAGGAGAGAGCAAGAAAAACGTCGTTAGAGCGAGCTTTCGAATAGTTTGCTGACCCTCGAGAAGGTGTTCGACCGTGGCAGGTCCCAGGTGAAGAAAACGTGGCTGTTCCAAGTGGTCGTATGCGGCGAGGTGTGACCACCGCACCTCGATGACACTGTAAACACTCGGCCGGTGTTTCCAGCAATTACCAGGTAAACCGCGGGGTGTTGTTTGCCACGGACGAAATGTGTTACAACAACAGAAGTGCGGCGTTCGAGGTGCGCGAGTACCGCGAACCGAGAGACGGGAGAGGCACCGATACAGGATCCACTTACAGGAGTTACGCGGCAAGAAAAGATTTTCAAGGGCATGAGCTTGCAGATTTCGTCCTCCTGACAAACCTACCACGGCCAATCTTTTCGCCGGTCTACCCTTTGATTCCTGCCGACCGTGTGTTTGTTCTAACCTCGGGCCAACGTAAAAACTCTGAAAAATTTCATGCTAATGGAACGTCGATTGACTTATGATCGTTCGTCAAGTTATTTATCGACCACCTTATCGCGCGACACATCGAGAATTACTCGTATCCTGTAACAGTAAACTACTCGTTGTAATTTAATTGTTTAAAGAACAAGTGCGATTTTCGCTCGAGTTCCATTCCTTTAATTGATATAGATTTGTACGAACATTCGCAGCTTGCGAATTATTCTTTAAATATTTGTCCATGAAGTGGAGAAAGCGATAAGCTTTTTGTAACGAGGACTATGAGAGATATCACTGCACTTATCCTGGAACTTTCATTCGGTCGAGAAGCATACTTTTTTTGACGAGCATATTGTTCTTACCGAACACAATGGGGGCCAAACTGTATTGTCTTATCCCAAAGGGATAATAACTTACAAATTTATAATTTTCTCCACGGCAGGGTCCTCCCGCGACCATACTTCTGTCTTTCGTTATTTTCTATTTTATGGTTGCACAGATGTTCTCCACAGGGGCAACATCTACTAAACTAATAAACCACACCCCTGTAATTCACCGAATGTCCTTACTGGACAAATTATGAAGACTCTTGGAGATAATAAAAAAAAAAAATTTTGTGGTTGTAGTCATACTTGATTCCAAGGCTCAGTAAGTATCTTTCTCGCAACTGTCCTCGCCATCAATAAATATGAAACATATTGCAAAGAACGCATCCTAGGCTCAGAAAGTAAGTAAATATGATTTTTATGAGCCGATCTTGCTCAAAGACACATCTAAAATCAATTACCTGTCTGCCTACATCCTTGACTGGGGAAAACTCAATGGAATCTACTACTATATAAGACAATTCACGAGACAGTTCAAGTTTAGTTGTTTTTTTTCAACAAAACCAGCAAAGTGTCCAGTAGTTTTCAGGAGCTCTACGTATCAATGATTTTTTTGGTTTCAAAATGTTTGTTGGTCGTAGAAATATAATTGAAAGTGAAGCAAGTAGTGATGAAGAAGTTATGAGTTTTTGTAAGAAAGGCTATAAAGGCAGCTTGCGAATTATTCTTTAAAGAGAGAAGCTGTAAAAGAGAGAGAGAAAAGATCATCATTTTCGGAGATACTTACAATATTTAAATATATTATATATTTAGAAAACTTGAATCACAGTATTATATCAAGTTGTAACTAACAACTATGTGACCCAGGCTCCTCCGTTTTGCCGATTGATTCACGATGAAATTCCGACGAGTTCCCGTCTCTTTTTTTGTCACGCGTGTTCGAGCCCGTCGCACAGGGTGATTAATCATTTTTTTTCCGAGCACAAGGAGTGTGCCGCTCGATCTTGCGTCACTTCGCTACACAACATGCTGACTGCTGAATTCCGCTTGTTCTTGCTTCGCTTACGAGATCAGTTACAGTGACAATAAGTCTGAAAGAAACGCGAGTCTCCTCCTCACGAATACGATGATATAATACGATGATCTACTTACGATGGTTCGCAACAATACGCGAACGAGGGTGTAAAAATTGAAAAGAAACGCGCAGGTAACACGCTGCTTTCGAAGAAATGTTGGAGGGTTCCTCCTTTTCAACGTGACAGATTCGTCGGTGATTTCTCTCGCGCGAAAAAGTGTTTTCGACCACACGCAATATTGTGGGCCGTGTTTACTGAAGAAACAGACGACACGGTGGTCGAAACGCGAGTCGCTCGTGCCACGAATCGCAATTGCGGCCGTTTGTCGTTTTGCCTCGACGATTCCTTTTCTTTTCCCGATGCTAGGCTCGCACCGAAAATACATCGTTCCCGTTTCTACGAGCGCGAATAATCCTCTCAAGTTCATTCGTGAATTTTCTTTGCATTAACGGCGTTAACACGCAGTGGGGACAACGTTGTAGCGTTGTTAATATTAATTCTTTGCGTTCGCGGTATTTTGCATGCCGACTGACAGAGAATGCTGATTTATCGTGACAACGTGTGGGAGACACGATTCTTTTCGGGCGAGACGAGTGGACGAACGTGGTCGCATG